CTCGACGTTCATCAAAATGAACAAATCTTTTTCCGAGTCATTTGGTTCATTCAACGAACGGAACAAACGAATTTACTCGGAAAAAGATTCGTTCATTTTGATGAATGTGTTCGAACAGAAGAGTCAGTATTTCAGATTCTGGTGTGCTGATATTTGTGTGTGGCCCAACTTACCCATCCTTCAAACACTCTGACATTACACTCACTGCATGCGCAACTGCCCCACAGACATTTAGTGGGGATGACAAAACCCATAACCATAATGACGTACTTAACAATTTGTTAATAGCCATGTGCCTCAACAAGTAAAGTCATAACATAATGATACCTTTGCAAATCATTAGCTAATGATTGATTAAAGCAGACAACTGCAAGTTGAAGTGCATAGTGTTGACTAATTGTGGTAGTTAATAGAATTATACATGATGACATGTTTAATTAATAGCAATTCATTTATTACTTAATCTATTAATCATGTAGACTCTTTAGTAGCTGCTGATGCAGCAATAATTAATTAAGGGTTTAGTCCTTCATGAGTCGTACATTAACTCATGATTATCTGTGCATTACGTAGTTATGCATATTAGTGCACCCATATTGTAAAGTGTTACCAAAAATATCTTAATTTGTGTTTCAAAGATGAACGAAAGTCTTTGGGGTTTGGAACGATATTGATGACTTTAAAAATAAATAAATTAATAAACCCTTCAATAATATATTAGCATATAAAGGCATGAATGATTCCTTAAAACATGACTTTTTTTGAAAAGAAGTATGCTGTTACTTTGTCAAGTGATCAGACTTTTACATATAGATTTTTACTTATAATGATGGTGATTTTTGCAGGTAAACAGCACTCATTTTCTTTATAAAAAAATCTAGTTTGAAATAGCTTCGCTAAGAACGTAAAGTCATAAAGCATATTATATCAATCTAAATGACTTAGTGTAAAAACAATAAGGTCTTTTCAGGTAGAATAAGTCCTCATTCAAGCCAGTGTAAGAGAAAGAGCTGATTGACTTTGTGTCAAAGCAAACCCCTGCTTGTTTAACGTCAGGTCGTGAAGCACAGATCTGTCTCTCGCATGTCAAGCTTCATCTCTCCAAGAAGTCTGAAGGAAAACAGGGTTCTTATTTTCATCATAAAAACTCTCTAATTAGCATTAAACTGGTGTTTGCTTGTTACAACAAGCCTGAACACGGTCCAGTAACAATGCTTATTTTGTCCTGTGAAGAAATCCTCCTGCTGTTGTTAGGGGGGGAAAGAACTTCTGAATGTCCAGGACAGGTCAGAAAGGCTCTGATGATGTCACTTCAGATGGACCCAACAAATTGGGGAAATGTTTTAAAGGGATGGTTCACTTTGAAATTAATTTTGGTATGTTGTAGCTTACCTCAAAGCGCATCCAAGATGTAGGTGTCTTTGTTTCTACAGTAGTTTCAATTCAATTTCACTTTTACATAATGGAGGTCTATGGTCACCACGCGAAAGATCACTTGGACATGGCTGTGGTTACGTGAGGTAAAAACGTTATAGAAACTGCTCGTTTCGTGTCTTCGGCCATCAATGTGTATTACGAGTCATTAAATCATGTTTAATTTGGACTTCTCTGTGCATGCTCTTTGAGGTGGTGACCATAGACCTCCATTATATGACTGACAGACAAGAACGGTTTGACCTAAAAATATCAAAATTGAAACTACTGTGGAAACAAAGACATATACATCTTGGATGCCCTTGGGGTAAGCTAAAAATTAATTTCAAAGTGAACTATCCCTTTAATGTGGTTTGTGGCGTTTATTACAACACCCAGTATACACGCATCCACAAAAAATGCTGCCACCCCATGGCTAACCCACAAACTGGTGCGATCATTTCCCCTCCGTCCTTCACCAGTGCAACAATGCCACTGTTTTTGCTGGATGGATCTGCTGGTCAGGTGTGAAAAAACAGGCTTCAGTTTGGGCATCATTCATTCTGGGGGTTATTTTTAGTGCTGAAAAGTTCAATGTGGTGCTATGTTTCTTTGGCAGCTTGGAAAGGTTTTTGAGCCAATGCTGGATGCTGCTGTGGCTAAAGTCTTATGTGTAAGGCGACAGCAATATGAAATGTTTATTAAAGGCTGCTTCCTTTGCCTCTTTATTTTTAACTCGAGCTGCTCGTCTGTATTTGTTGACAGCCGTGGTGGGTGTTCCAGCCTTTATGCATAAGGCTGTCTTTTCTGTTCTTAAACAGATATCTGTTGAACATTCAGACACACCTAATCTTTATTATTTTACACTTTTTTGGGGGGGATAATGTAGTAAAGTCATTAAAACTATGGAACTTTTAGATATTAACTAAACTATTAATGTATGTTTTCTTACATTTATGCACTTGGTACAAGAACATCATGGTGCGCTTTTTAACCGCCGTTGAAAGAGTTCACAAGGGATTTTTACTTCAGTATTTGGCCCAAACCATCAATCGATCAATTAGTCCATCCAAAATAAATATATATTTTAAAAATAAATAAATGTATTTTTAAAAAGTAGATAAAAAATAAATGTTACATTTTCCATCCATCCAATCATCCATTGTATTGTTCCGCATGATCTGAAAGTAGCGGCCGGCCATCACTCCTAAACTAAAGAAGACTGGCCTCGATAACACCATTCAGAAAAATTATAGACCAATAATGGATCAAGTTCTTCTTGATCTCAGTGCAGCATTTGACACTGTGCCACTCTACAATTCTTTCTCGACTGTCTGCAATAGGCATCACTGGTGCTGCTCTTCAGTGGTTAACTTCATATCTATCGGATAGACAGCAATTTGTAAGGATAGGTGAGAACCGATCCTGGACCGTCACTATTTCTCATAATGATGTACCTCAAGGTTCTGTACTTGGTCCTCTTTTATAAATAAATATTAAAAAATTAAGAAAAGATAACAGTGTTACATAAAAATAAATATTAAATACTGAATATTTTAAAAAAAAGTATTTTAATCAAATTAAAAAGTAGATAAATATTTTACATTTTATGCCTTTGAGGTTTACCCTTTAGATATAATAAATAAATGTTACATTTTAAATATATATGTAAATATAAAAATAAAAATACATATTTTTTTCATATTTATATAATCATTATTTTCAAAAATAAATATTTTTTTCACATTTAAAAAATATTTTTTATTTTATGCATTTGAACATAACCCTCTAGATAAAAGAAAAAACAAATAAATACAATAATATATATTCAGTGAAGTAGTAATACAAAAGTTGTGGGCCTATAGTATTTGGATAAATGATACACAGGCTGCTTTCCACTGCTATCTTTCTTGACTCATTACCTCAAGATGGAATCCCATCATGCATCTGACTGATGAACTGTGCTCTGGAGTGAACATCTCGATAACAGACGAATCACTTTGAATTACTGCTCCGGTCAATGGGCTGTGCTGGTATAGGGAAGAACACCCGGTCAAGAACGGCGGGCAAAGCTCCTCTTATTATGCATCTGACAACAGTCTGGCGTGACGGGCTGAGTGACTGCACCTCCCGACCCACCGCATTCAGTTTGTTCAGGCTGGCTTTCCACAGACCTCTCGTAAGACTGGCAGTGGCTCATGGGAACTCCCTCGCGCATGCCAGCTTTTCCTAGGGCGCTAAAGGTCGGGTTAAGAGTAAAGACTCAGTGGAAAATCTGTCGGAGGGGGTCTGTTGAATTAAGGATCAGTTGTTCTTCCTTGGATATTATTACAGAAGCGAGTGCTCTCCTGTGTTGGGGATGGAATCCAGGAAAACACATCGGAATGTGCCATGATAAATTTCATGTGGCACAGCAGTGCCAAAGGGCATAAACATGAGGACAGCTATATGAGCGTCCAGTGAGGGTTCGTAAAACCACAGCATCATATATGGTCAAACTGAACTAAACCCATCACTGACACACATGTCTTATTTTGGGGCATTTTTACAATTATACGACTCCTCCACTCTAATGACACAATCCAAACGGGATAGTTTATAGTCTCTTTGACATTTTTATGCCTCATCGGGCTCTGCCAGGTATCGTATTAACCAATATTTACGTAAATGATGATCTGTCTGCCTTTGCCGAGAGCTTTTAGCAGTTTTTTCCTAGGTGGTCCATTTGTGTCTGACAACCTGACACCTTCTTAACTCCACATACAGTTTTCTTTATTTCTGGTCGGTGACGTCATCTGATAGGATAACAATAACTGCTAGCGTAGAGCTTGAGACAGCTAGGCCTTCTCTGGGGAAAATGTCTTTAAAAAGAACAAAATGAGCTTTTAAATTATGCCACGCAAGTAATTCAATAGAAAGACTGAAATACATTTAAATTCCAAAGTGGCAGGGAGGTAAAAACTAGAGTGAAGTGTTTTTATTACTATTTCTCAATGATTTAGCACCTCTGGGAATGGTATGTAAGATGAGGCGGTCTCTATAGATAGTAACGCAGTTTGGCCAATTGTTAATAAATGAAAAAATATGTAAATTAAAAAAAAAAAAAAAAATTTTCAGATACACTGTTGTTTTAAAAGAGTACTATGCAACGAAATTGCATAAATCAAGTGTAGCAAAACTATCTTTGCATCTCAATCCTTAATATTAGTATAAGAGCGACCTCTTGTGGTGGTTGCCTTTAGTTTTGCCAGCAGCAAATGCAGCCTAAAAAAAACTAAACCATTACAACAGCACTGTATATTTTATTCATTTATATTTTATAATGCTTTTTGTGCGTTTATACAATACTTTATGCTTTTAAGTCAGTTAATAGTCTACAAAAAAGCTATTATATTTTCACCGTTACATCACCTAACTGAGTTTAATAGAATTGTTTATTTATTTTTTAGTGTAGGTTATATTTGTTGACCTAACACAATTTATGCATATAATAAAATAAAATAAAATAAGATAAACACACATTTAACGTTTGACTTACGTATGGACCGCTTGAACGGAACGTTAATAGGAACCTTGTAATTGCTAGATTTTCTAACCGGGTTTATTTACAAGTGACGCCAAACGCGCTAAACCAAGCTAGCCTCATCTTTGTTGAGTTTTCGTCAGAAATCATAAGGTAAGAATAGCACAGATCTTTTATTATTTTCTTCATTTGTTTCCATTTCTTATAATGTTCATATAAAAATTTTGATAATAAACATAATGTCGTTTCACATTTTGACATGTTTTGCTAGCAATGCTATTTGCTTGATAGCTTGTGGTTTATTATTCAAATGAAATTTATATTTATTGCACTTATTTTTGACGATATTCTAAATAATAATAATTACAACAACAATAAAAACTTTCCACACATGGTGTAATATAATAAAGCTATACCAACTGTTTTCAAACTGGGAGTGCTAGGAATTTTTCGAAAGGAAATGTTCAGAGAAAAACTAAAAAAAGAATAATGAAAAATAAACAAGTAAATGTGTAAGAGAATAAATATATAATACATCTATAGTTTTACAGTATATAGAAAAACTATATAATATATAATACTATTATAAACAACATAATAAACATGAGTAACAATCTGTTTTATTGACTTTTTTTGTCTTTATTTCAGTGAAATAATACTCTTGACTCCAGATTGTGTCCATCTACTTTTAAAATGGAGCCAGCATGTCGAAAAGACAAACAGAAACAGCAAACGCCGACCCGTGGAGACAGAACGAAACAGAAATCAGCCCAGCAGGAGCTGAAGCAGAGACAGAGAGCAGAGGTGACCGTGATCTTCATCCTCATATACAGATGATTACACATATACACAGATATGATTAAATTGTGCCAGGAAATCCTGCCTCTTAGGATGGTAATTCAGTTGTGTGATTCACCACCAGCCAAAGTGAAAATGCTTGCACTGCTTCTATTTTGCAATTGTTATTTTTATTACAATGTAAGTGAAGGTTTATTTAAACAATATAACTAAATATCAAAAAGTCTTTGTATGTCGCAATTTATAAAAATAGAGCTGAAGAAGAGGAACATGTTTTGAGAGTTTAAACAGCAGTGGAACCTTCTGTTCAAAGTCACATGATCAATATGATCAGTCACACATTTGCATAAGACTTAAATATTTCACATCGTAGTAAAAGTAAATGCGCTACCGTTCAAGTTTGGGATCAGTAAGAATTTATGAAATCAATACTCTTATTTAGCAGTTATGCATTTAATTGATCAGAAGTGACTTTCATAAAGTCACTCATTTACTTGCATTTAGTGACTTTAAAATGGCGCAGACTTAAACGATTCATATATTCATTTCTTTCGTTAAAATGTCAAAAACCCTATAACTTTTGGTTTATTTCCATGTATTTAAATTGCACATTCATCTCAGTTAGTTTGTTCTCTGTTTCTGGTGTATTACAGATTTACGCCCTGAACAAAGTCATGACTGAACTTGAACAGCAGCAATTTGAGGCCTTCTGCAAGCAGATGCAGTCTCAAGGGGAATGAGAAGCACTCATGTCAAGGCAAACATTCGCTGGTTAGGGTTACGTTACGATGTTACTACTGTATATACACGTCATTTAAACCTAAATGTACCCGCTGGAGAATGCATGGCTGTATTGGTGCTCAAACACAGTACTTGAATCTTAGTGTACAATCACATCGCAAACATTGGGTGTTATGTACAAAACCAAAAATATCATCATATTTATTAGAGAACCACCCTTTAAATAGACATTCACTTACTCGTTAATGCCGTTTCATACGATTGTTAATTGTAATGTTTTATATGATGCAGTGTTTACTGTCCTGAACGAGTATTACATTATGTATGAATGTACAAAGCAAATTTGTGACCGGAAGGAAACTATTATTTTTAGTTTATCATTAATTTATTTGCGACATACTTTAATACTGATTAATGTTCCTTTTACCACACAGTTTTTGTTTAATTTGGTTATTAAAAAAATCTTATCTTGGAAAAAATATAAAATGATTTATAGCCTTATTTTCCTATATCCCACTGTAGCTGACGCCCTCTTGGTTTTTCAATCTGACCTGATTTTAGATCATTTAAAGCTTTTCACTAGGGCTGTCAAACGATTAATCGCATCCAAAATAAAAGTTTGTGTGTACATAATATATGTGGGTGCATTGTGTATAATTATTTTGTATATATATAAATACACACACATGCATGTATATTTAAGAATTTTTTTTATTTATATATAATATAAATGATATATGAATCTATATACAGTATATACATGAAAATATTTCTTAAATATATACAAGCATGTGTGTGTATTTATATATATAAAATAATTATACACGGTGAACCCACATATATTATGTACACACAAACTTTTATATTGGATGCGATTAATCGCGATATTTATTTATTATCATGCAATTTTGGATTTGCCACTTTGAGTTTCTTTATTCACACCCCTCTCCTTCTGCTTCAATGTAATTATAACAAGCAGATGTAAATGTATACCAGTAAGTTAATACTTAATAAAAATTAATACTTTTATTCAGTAATGATGCATTAAATTGATCAGAACTGATCATTTATTAAAAAAAAAAAAAAAAATACTGTTTTTTACTTCCTGTTCATGGAATCCTGGAAAATGTTTCACGGTTTCCTGAAAAACAGGAATTAACAACTGTCTTCAACATTGATAACAATAATAAGAAATGAGCAGCAAACCAGCATATTATAATGATTTCTGAAGGATCCCGTGTCACTGAAGCAATAAACTACATTTCAAAATGACTGTTTTATAAATCAAATAAATGTAGCTTTGGTGAGCATAAGACAATTCTTTCAAATACAGTGTAAATACAGTTGTCTGTTGTCCTGTGGCACAGAAACTGAATGTCTTCAGGTCGGTGGCAGGTTTGGCCATTTCCTTATCAGACCTGAACTTGCTTCCTTGAAGTCAGATGAAAAAAGCCATTTGATGTTGCCAGTTTCCAAGTCATGATATAATAATGCAAGGAAGGTCAGAAACAGATAATGTTTTGTCATTTATTTATTATCATTTTTTTTATGTGGAGTGAGCATGATTAAGACCTATTTGGATTTTATACCACATTAGAAGATGCTAATTGCATATAGATTCTCTTAGAAGCGCATTGTTAATCCAAGATAACTCTATGTATCTTGCAGGAGCATATAGAGGTAGTTAGTGGTTGAGCAGAATGTTACTCTAAAGTAAAAAATTAGATGGGTTTTTTTTTTTATTCTTAGCATTACTAGTTTATCCTTAAGCTATTAGTATTACACTTAGTACAGCATGTGCAAAAATAAAAGCAAGTTGCAAGAATTTTTTTTTTTTTTTGGCCAATTGATCATAAATTTATACTATATTTAAATTTATATCATATATTTTTGTCTACATACATTAGTGTTTAGAGGTCTATGGTAACAGAGCTCCCAGTAACTCTCACTCCAAACCAGCCCTGCCAATACTTGGTGTCTTGACCGCCATGTTCAAAAGAGATGAAGCGTAGGCCCGGGCCGTAGTCTGTGAACGTGTGGCTCACCTGTGGCAGAAGTGATAAAATAGTCGGTTTGCATGCACAAAACTAAGCTGAACTGAATTAAAACAACTATATAAACAGCTTTAGGTCATTGACTAGTGGTTTGCATAACGTTTGTTTTCTATTTTCCTTTTCATTTCTTTAAAGCTTTTGAGTGTGTATATTATGTCAAACTGGACTGGACTCTGCACTCATACCTTTCTCCAAGAGCAGTTGTCACAGTCAGGGTCAAGGGTCACTTCATCCGGCATAAATTCCTGAATGACCTCTTGGTTTTCATCAAGTAGGGTCACAGTGAGTTTATAAATGCTCCCACAGTCTGTCCGGCCACTGCACCTAAACACTCAAAAGAAATGATTGAATGGACAACGTGACGAAACAAAATCCTGCTATTATGTCCACAACATCAAGGCTTACCAGTCCTCCACATTGACAGCTGGCTGTGCAATATCTAAATTTTCAGGGTCGTAACCCTCTTCCAGCAAGTCGATCACTTGTCTTTTTAGACACAGCCTGGAACAGCGGACAGAAAAAGACACTGATGTTCAATTGATGAATGAACAACACACACCGAAACACAAGCAGGGACAGTGTGAAAAGTGAAACACGCATGGATCCTTCTTTCTTATTCTTACTCATAAGAGGTGGTGAAGAATTTAGTGATCGATTCATCGTTGTGAGTGTATCCGCAGTCCCCCGGCATGTCCTCGGTCCGCCACTCGTCGCCTCCATTCTCGGTCAACTCCCAGTGCTCCAGACCGTCTGGTGAAAATACATGCGACACCATATTGGATATTTAGGTGGCTACTGATCTGGAGAGTTGGCACGTGATCGCAAGTGAGTTTTACTTCATCTGAAACTACATTTAAACAGCATTTTTATATTCTTTTGTGTTATGCATGCAGTATGACGTTTTAAAGGTGCGGTAAGTGATTTCTGAGAAAGTGGATCACTGTAGAAAGAGAGCTGGCTGAGAGACATTACAAAAGAAGATCAGGCAAGAGCTTTAGGACCTGCGTCAATATTTATAAAGCTTTCCAATGCTTAATAACCACGTTTGTTTTGTTGTTTCTTCTCCATGCCCGAGTAACATTGGTTTTGCTGTGTTTCACAGACCCAAGATATGCTGTTGTAGTTATTTTAGCTCTACTAACAGGACATTCTTGAGCGTCATTGTTTGTCTGGAGCTATTCCAGAATGCAAGGGTTAGTTCACCCAAAAACTTATCCCGTAATGTCCTCACCCTCAAGCCATCTTAGGTGTATATGACTTCCTTCTTTCAACCTTCTTTCTTTTCATTAAAAAATATCCTAGCTCTTCCAAGCTTTATAATGGGAGTGAGAGATTTTGAAGCCCAAAAAAAGCACATACATCCATCATAAAAGTAATCCATACGACTCCAGGGGTTATTAAAGACCATCTGAAGTGAAGTGATACGTTTTTGTATCATAAGCGCTGCGTTTTATCCAAAGTTGAACATTTTTCAAATCTCGGCAACCAGTAAAAAACGCTGGGCGCTCGGCGCTTCAGCGTGCAAAAGCGCCTCGTTATGCTCATGGCACGGCGCTCCGATGGAAAACTATTGAAAACGTACGCCAGATGCGTGAAAAAAACGCTTTGGTGGACACACGGCCTTACTGAACATTTAATTAATTTTTAATGGAATATTTGTACTTTTTTGTCACACTTTTCCCTTATGCATTGCCTAACCTAAAATCAACCTAAAGTTTGGGGTTGTCAATGTTAAAAACAGTTGTGGAATCCTTAAAGAATCCTTAAAAACTTTTAAGGATTCTTTGATGAATAGATAGTTGAAATTAAAAGCATTTATTTGGAATAGAACATTTTAAGACATTATAGAAATCTTTACTGTCACATTTGAAACATGTAATACTTCCTGAATAAAAGTATGAATTTCCTTAGAATAAATGTTGTGGAAATACAGTAAATATACATGAATATAACTTACCATTTCCATTAGGATTTTTTAGAAGGTTTCCAGACATTTTGTTGAATCTGCTTTTCCAGTAACCACTAGAGAAAAGGCCAGGGCAGATAAAAAAAAAGTGTAAAAAGTGACAAATTTTTTACACTCTTCGTTGCAGTGACTATTGTATTTTTTATCTCTTAAAACTCCGCAATTCTTTTGTATCATTCATCCGCCTGGTATTGATTTGATTTCCAGGATCCTGCGGTAGCAGCTAGTGCTTGAGTATTGGATTTCTGAAAAATCATCGCCAGGAAACCATGCATAAATTAAAGCCCACTATTAATGCAATAATAAAGCTGACAACTTTCAACAGAATCATTAATTATAAAGCAGTAGTGTTTCTTTTCATTTGAAAGAGAGGCATTTGCTCAGTGAAAACAGTGAATGAGCTCTAGTTTAGCTCTTTAACGTTACTGTAACTGACTCATATGTTTCTTGCTGTAACGTTAGATCTATTCAGCATAAGGAAGGAATCTCTACACATACATAGATAAAGTAAAGTGCATCACAGAACAATCATAAAAAGGCAATGCGTCATAAACACGGTCCAGTACTTACAGTGAGTGTGTCCACTCCAGCCCAGTGCTGTGTATGTGTTTTTTGAGGGCAGAGGCTTCCTGTAATATGATCTCTCTGCAGACCCTCTCTGATTGGCAGAATGAGGCACATGGTTGGGGCGTACTACATCAGCAGCAATTGTAATCACCCTGACACTTCTGCAAGCACATGTGCACATTAGCACAAATGTCACTCAATTTACAGAGGAAAACCACAGCTGAGCTGACATACAGAAAACAGAGGCAATCTTCAACAGCCAACACTATAATTCGTGAAGGGTGGAGAGAACTGTAATAATCAAGCCTTGTCTAAACCACTTTTTTTTGTTTCTATCTACTTAATTTTTCATGATGCTAAAATCCATGTAAAACTGTTGGAGTCATAGCATTGATTTTTTTTTTTCTTTTTTGAGGTCTTTGAGGTTCAATAATGCTAAGTTTTATATATGAGAAAAGAAAAAAAAAGATTATTTTCAACCTTCATTCTGACCCTATGTCTGAAATTATTTATTTTTAAGTAAAATAAGAGTGTTGCTTCTTTTACTTGGTCCTCCTTACCTTGAGCTGATCACTCTGTTGTCAAAAGGAAAATAATTGAAAACTAAGAAGTGATCTAGATTGTGGTTCTATAATAATGTATAGATCACAATGTGGCATAAAAATAGTCCGATCGAGTCACGTTGTCATTTAGTGGCATGTCACTGGTTTCTAACTCGTGGTTCCTTAGTGATTATTCAGATTTCTTTTTTTCTATGACATGCTGTAAATTACTTTTTGGAAATACAAACACATTTGAAACATGACTAATTTAATTTTCTATAAATGGATATTTTAATTTATTGTTGCCATACGATGTGCAAATATACGTTTAAACTTGTGTTTTAGTCTGGAGTGTTGTGCAAGTAATAAATTATGTGAAGTTTTTTTGTTATTTATTGCAGTATTTTTCTCTTAAACATATATAAACATAATCGGACAGTTAGAGTGTAAAATATATTAAATGTGTTCTGATGTAGAGTTTAGACACTCAAATCACAGACGTTTTACAGAGTAACAAACTCATATTTGTTTTGTTTTCATTAAACTAAATATCACTTTGTTTGATTTTTTTAATCTAATGTCCTTCTAAGTGTATAATATACACATTTTAAGTGAGCGTTATATTTCTCGCCAGTATGAATCAAATGGGGACTTTTATTTTGGCAGATGAGCAGATCTGTCCGTCTAGGTTTCACCCATCACAGCTTCATCACATTCGGACATATTTCATCACTGTTTCCCATTACTCCTGCAACTGTCATCGCCAGTTTTTCGATTCAGGATAATTATCTGCATCTTTACCGTCGCGTGGTCCACTATCTTTGTTTCAGCAGCAGGTAAACATGAATAAAACACCATCAACACACACATCAGTCACAACAATGTTAGCGTGACGGCTAGCCAATTAGCAAGTTCCAGCAGGGGAAGAAAAAAAGTGGATCAACTTTTGTTTAAAGACATTACAGTTCGAGCTAATTGAGTATTTAGATGTGTAATCTTAGATGTTGGTTATAATTGGTGTGTTATGGATCATATGGTGTTATTAAACTTAATAGATCAGCTATGTATAGCAGGCAGGCTAAATGAGCTCGAGGACTGCCCATCAAAAAGGTTAAAAACACACACATATATATATATATATATATATATATATATATATATATTTTTTTTTTAAATATAACCCATAAACATAGCTGTCCAATTAAAAATGTGAAGATGAATGTATGAAGTAGTCAGATGAGTTGGATTTGTTTTTGCAGTTTATGTAGGTGTGGAGATACGTGACGTGACTCTGTGCATTATAATCTCATACATTCCTTTAAAACTTTTTCATTAGTCTGTAAAGAATAATCTATTTAGTGATCGATTAAACTGAACAGTTATTCTAAGTTTTTTAATTAACTGATTGGTCCAGTCAGATGTTACATTGATATATGAAATGCTACATGTTATCGTATCTGATGCATCATAACAAAGTGTAACTTAATTCGATATAATTGCATTTTGTGTATTGTTATTACGATGTGTCATGATGCGTGAGTCGTATGTTGTTGAAAATGTGATCATAAACTAAAACAGCTTTTTTCCCCTACAATATAGAAATGGACAACAGCTCGACGACTTGTCCATTTGACACACAGGTAAATATATTTAGATGTTCTAATGCTATAACGTTAACTTATTCATATATTACTTTTTTTAATTAATATTATTCTACATGATTTTGCTGTATGAGTAACATTTTTTGTGTCATCTCAGTATTTCTGTATATGTTTTCATGTTAATCCTCTTTGGATGTGAATTAGCTTAAAATAGGCTTTCCTCGTTTAAAACTGTACGCAATGTTTGATCATCATCACATCCAAAATATGTAAATACATATCTTATTTCAGTGCTTTTACCTATTTATTTACCAACTTGATCTCTGGTAATAACTAAAGTCGTGAAAGGAAGTGTCATTGTTTTTAGGCTATCTCATTAGCAATGGCTGGCTAACTCATAAGATCCTGTTTAGGTTGATTAATTTAAAGTGTTTTTTTCCTGCTTTTCCTCATCGTATTTACAGCGAAAAATATATTTATTTTGTAACACTCGTTTTCGTTCTCATTTTGCCTGTGCATGGAGTTGCTAACTAACAAGCCTTTTAGCCTCACATTATTAAATACGATTTTAGTTACATCAGTCATGTAACGTTAGTTTGGTTGATGCAAACGGCGTTCTAATATATCAAGCGAATTCAAATTGGCGTCGATCGTGTAATTGAATGACGGTGATTATGTGTCATTATCGAATGTCGAATATTTTCACAGTTGACAGAGCCAGTGCGCGAATTCCGCGAGATGGGAATGCGCATGCGCGCACATTGCTTCACTCCCAGCCTTTGGTTAGGAACGCAAAACACTGCTTTCATTAAGACATTTTAATGGGAGTGGATTAGCATTAAAAAAAGTAGATTTGTTGATTTGTTGTTGTAATTCTCTGGTGGAGATTTCTTTGGAGAATCATGGGTAAAGTAGTTTTTTCACCAGGAATTCTGTTAACATGGTTATTTTAAAAACAAGTGGAAAAAATGTTGGTTGATGGCTTCAACAAAAACAATTACCATCAATTAACAATCTCATAGCTCACAGTCAGTCTGTTTTTAAAGGGTTGTTGTTTATCAGTTCCCCGCCCTTTGTATACAATTAATGGGATTTTGAGTTTTGTAACTTGACTGTTGCACTCAATAAATAGACAAATACAAGTACACTGTTCTATGTTGATTCTCCTGAAAAGTGAAAACACTCTGACACTGTAATGCATTCATATAACATTGTGTCTGTTTGAACATCCCGACCAGCCCAACACAGCAGTGACTCAGCTAATGACCAATGGCCTGTGTTTGGGGAATGGGACTAACCCATTCATTAGTTATTTTTTTAATCCATTTTTAAGTACTGTAATCCTAAATCATTTTGTTCCATGTTTTACTCTTTTAAACTTGGTTTAACATGTTTAATTGTGTTCTGTGATTGTACAAAGAGCATGAATATTTAATGAGGCTTGCATTGCTTTGTTTCTGATTCTTTTGCTTAACAACATTTAGCACTGTTTCTGAATGTGTGCATAATCTAATGCTTTTAAAAAGGGTGAAATTGTGCTCTAAAAGTCATATTGAACTTGTAAAATAAAAAAAAGTACATGTTGAAATGACTACTTTCTGTTTTTATTGCAGGGCTACAGTTCAACATTTAAGAGGAAACGAACGGTGGAAGATTTCAACAAGTTCTGCACATTTGTGCTGGCATATGCTGGTTATATTCCATACCCACAGGAGGTGAGTATTGTCATGTCTTAGTGATGTAACTGGGAAAATGATACTCATTGTGCTTGTGCGTTTGCTAGAAAGTTCTGTCAGTGTTGCAGGGTGAAGCGGCCTTGCATTTCCTCAAGATCGCTCAACGATCTGACACATCCGACCTCCAGAGGTTCCTATCCTTGGCAGTGGTGTAGCACTGGGTGCTTTTTTTTTCTGAGCTGCTTTGCTGTTGATGCTCTTGTTTGATCCACAGAAATGGTGGTGGCTCTTATGCCACGGCCGCTGAGAGACATCTCCCTCCAAAAAAACCTCAGCCCTCCCTCCCAGGGTAAGAGGGCCACTCCAGTCTCCTCATTCTCATCTCAGACCCTGTCTCTAAGTGCCATTCTTCACAACAGCAGTGTGTGTGTATCCACAAACACTTCAGTTTCAGGACTTTCCTTTAATGGATCCTTCAATGGATGGAGGCTAAATCGAGGAAACTCTGTTGCAGGGAAATGCATGTGGGCCGATAATATCCCCAAGTGTTCCAAAACCTAGTGAGCTGCCTGCTCTCTACATAGGGTGCTGCCTTCTAAAGAAGCATCCTAACTGCTGAAATAAAGTGCATGGGACACTCAACTCTCAATTGACACTTGCATGTTGTTTAAAATGAAATTGTGTAACAGATATTGTGTAATGTAGTCAGTTTTGGGTGGCAAATAGTCGTGTGAATGACGTCACATCAACATGGTGGCACCCTGGTAGATATACCAAAGACTATAGACCCCTTTTGCGCCGACGTCACAGTTACGTCACGGCGCTAGCTGGAGGCAAAACAAAGTGTAAACTGGAGGCGGACAATACAAAACAGCACAGATTCGGCTACATAATAAGGAGTTTAAATAATCGTTACTATTATTAAATTTCATCGTGTTGTGTTGTTTGGTGCAAGAATTAATGAAAAATGAATATGCTGTATCTGGAACTTTTATTTCTAGAAAATATTCACATCATTAAAATTGCACCAGAATGTCACTCTTTACATTGTCGTGGTCTCGGCAGAATTGCGGATCGTACACACAAGTCTTGTACAAAAGAATATAGGCATCTAAAGATTTATATGCCCTCAGTTTCTATTTACGATCGGTTTCTCTATAAGGTAGGTGAAGTCAGGCCACTCAACCGAGGTAACGTACGTTAATCCTGTCAGATCGTCCATGCATTGAGTGAGTGAGCGTGTAGGCGGCTACAGGTCGGCTAATCTGGTTCCGTCCGTTAAAAATGACTTTTGGAAATAACAATCGCGGCCCTGGACACTGAGTGACCTTACACATTAAGATAATATCGGATTCTCTCCAGTCATTGTTAAAAAACAAGCTAAAAATCCTTGCTAACTAGCGTTAGTGAAGCGGCCAGAGGGATCTTTCTGCCTCCACCTAAGCTCCGCCCACAAAAAACGTCACCGTGTTTACCAACTCTAAAGTGGTCTATAGAATTACACAAGACACGTCACTCATATTTTTTTGAATGGGGAAAAGTGCAGCTCAATATGGTCTCAGTATAAGTCCTGCCTTCTAAATAAGAGTTCATCTGCGATTGGTAAAGTCATGGCGTCACTGAGGTTGCCGTTAAATGCAATGCGCATTAGCTTGATCCAGCCTGACAAATTTGATTTGAGTGTTTAGAGACAGTTGTTGTCAACTGTATGGAGTGGTATTGCAGAGCAAATGGGCGCCATCTAATGTTAGGACATGAATTTGCATGTTCACTCGGCTCATCGTCAGCGAAAATCACTTGGGTGTGAACACAAAAACGTGTTGGAAAAACGCGCACTGATATTCGTCCCGGTGTGTACAACGGGCTTTAAGAGAGTTGTCATGACAGAAATATCCTACTTTAGGCTTTTGTTCTGCCATGTTGATTGAGCTTATTGCAATGCATTCTGGGTATGCTTTCTTTGTGAAGAGCACTTTTTGGAACAGCTTTCATGTCAACAAATGTCTGCTGTCCGAAATGATGTCTAGGTAGGCAACTCACTATGTTTTGGAACAGCTAGTGCATTCATAATGTTTTCACATCCTTTCAGTTTAAAGAGTCTGTGTTTTTGGAAAGATCATTTATTCTTTATTTGCTTACTCTACTTGCTATGTTTTTCGCAGGCTACTCAGCACAAAGGAGACATAGCACTTCATAGCATAGCACACGAATAATGACGGCTTTAATAACAAAGAAACGAACAGTAAATGAGGGTATAAATAAAAGTAAGCGTAGACAGAGATGGACCCGTGAGAAATGCTCCAAAATAATCCACCACTGATGTGGGATCCATGTGTTTCTGAGCTCATTAGTCGTGACTAAGAAAGCTGATTAAGGCTTGACAGCAAAATGAGGGGGAGGTTTTAAATTCTCTGAACATAAAGTGGAAATTCATAAACCTGCCATTTTTGTGCCTTATTTTTACAGCGTGCAGTCATTCTTGGATTTCATTGTGCAGGCGCTTGCATTTGTGATGACCCGTAATTTATGTTTTTCTTAGGTGGTAGCCATTAACTTTAGGAGTGACTCTACAAAAGCGTTGCTTGGCACTTTGCTTCTCTTACTCTGCTTTGTGATGGGCATTTTTCTTTTTACCAGAGTTGGTGTTGGCGTTCATGTCATTTTTCATGTAATTGCTTGGCTTTTTTAGTGCTAAAACACTAAACTGGTTAATTGATCTAATAAAGAATTGTTGAGATTTTTACTATTACACATTCTGACATTTTAGCCTTTATCAGACTCTCTCTCTCTCTCTCTCTCTCTAGCTCAAATGGCTACAGAAATGTGTTTCTTCTGGCTTGAGCAAAACGTTTCTAATAAAATTTCGTAATGATGCAACTGTGAGTAGTGTGCGGGATTTATACATTTCATATTGGACTTTTATCCAATGCACCTACAAATGATTCCTTTGTGTGTGTGTGAGACACTATATGTTCTATTTAGTCTTTATCAAACTGCAAAATGTGAAATGTTTCATCTTGGAGAGCTTGATTTGTAGGCAGTTTCATCTTGCGCCAGTGTGGTCTGCATTTCTTGTCATTACAAATATTGCTCCATAACCAGCAGGATTTGTGGGTGTGGATGATTTTCACCATAAGTCTTTGAAACATGCAGTGAAGTTATCTGGTCACTGTTTGCTCATCTTCAGACTTCAGACCAATGTTTCAGTCCAAGAAATTCAGTGCATTGGTGGTTAAAATGGTGTTTTCCATTGCTGTCCACAGGAGGCACACTTGAGGAACAGCTCTAGTCCGCCTAACAGCACCGGCAGCACTGCAGACAGTGACGGATGGGAGAACCAGAGGCTGGGATGTGGCCTCTCGTCCCCGGACGAGCCCCCAACCAAAAACCGCAAGAGCTTCGCTGGATTCAAGAGACCCGCGAGCGACGATTCGGAGCCCCAGAAACGTCCTAAGTCAGCAGGTCTTCTCCTGGAGGGTCGAACAAAGGCTGACAAGGTGAAGAAGAAGAAGAAGAAGCTGAGGAAGTGTAATGATGAGGAATTGAGATCTTTCTCTCCATTTGCTACTCCCAATGCTGAAGGTGAGATTGGCAATTTTGGATGTACCATCAAAGAAGAACCAGAAGATTACTTCAGCATCTCTGTACCCACCACTGGCATGGGTAGCGGCCAGCCAAAACCTGCGTATAGTTCACTTGGCACCGCAACGTGGAAGGAGGAGCCTGATATCGGCCGTCCATGCTGGGACGGTTTTAAAAGTTCAGGTCCAGAGTCAGAGGATGTCGAGAAACCCTCACAACCTAAAGAAGAGTCCATAGTCTTGAAAGTTGAAGGTTTTCCTGGTAAAAGGACTGTGGTCCGGCAGGGAAAACAGGTGGTGTTTAGAGATGAGGATGGATCGGGAGACGATGAGGACATCATGGTTGATTCAGGTAAGGAGAAGGTTTCCTCTTGTTGTCTAGTTAGCCTTTTTTAAAAGTAGAGGGAAATCGTATATATCACATTAAAATTGCAATCGCAATAGGTTCCTCTTGGAGTTTGGCAACGTCAAAAATACCATTGCGATAGCAGTAATTTCCTCTTGGACTTTGGCATTGTCTAAAGTAGACTGCCATCATATTTCGGTATATATGCAATTGCGGACTTTGGCATTGTTCGCAATCGCACATATTTGAATTTACTCTTTCTCTTTGCAGATGATGACTCTTGGGACTTAGTGACATGTTTCTGCATGAAGCCGTTCGCAGGGCGGGCTATGATCGAATGCAACCAGTGCAACACCTGGATCCACCTTTCATGTGCCAAAATCCGTAAGTCCAACGTCCCAGAGACGTACATCTGCCAGAGGTGCAAAGATACAAAGTTTGACATACGCCGCTCCAATCGCTCACGAGTGGGCACTCGAAAACACCTTCTCGACTGATCCCGCTCCTCTCGTTCTTCCATCCACGTGCACAGAAACTCGATGAGTACGGAAGAAGACCTGCGTCGCGTTTTTCTATATCTGTTTTTAATATTTCTCACCTTCCTAAATGTTTGCGTCTGGCAATCAATACTCAGATGATGCATTAATGAGAGCAGATTTCCACCGTAAGGACGGTTGGAGTTGTGACGGTACTGGCCTGAAGGTATTACACAATCCGAGTTGAGCTGGAAAGAAGGGATTGGGGTGGCGGCGTACAACTTTTTTTAAGAGCAAAGTGGTAGCTAGAGATGCCCCTTTGTACCCATAGCTTTCAAAATTAGGTGTATTTGTTAAAGTATGTACATTCTATGAAATAACCATAAGATATTAGTTTCAAGGTGTCATTTTGTGTGGATCTTTTCTGAGGCCACCAAATGTGTATGTGGCAAAGAGTTCTGTTTGTTGGATAATGTTGATCGAAGTTTTCGTCAGCAGTCACTGATGCTTTGGAGGGAAACATCAGAAATGGTTCATGCTACATTGTGGTATTTTTTTTTTTCTTTTTAAAGAACATTGGAGCTAACTGATGATAACAAGAGTGTTATTTTGATTTATGACGCCTGATCATTTCTACCTTTTATTGAACAAGAAACTTTTTGTTTGCATGTTGTAATATTTGACTAAACTGGTCTTTTTTTTCTGCAATTAGATGTACATTTTTTGATAGTCGTTAAAGGTTAGGGAAGGGATGAATATCAGAATCTTACAAAACACGTCGCATTTCACCCCATTTGATATATTAATACTATTTTTAGGAACAATTTTTTTTTTTATCTTCGAATTCAAGTAATGTTTCTGGGTATTTTGCTTTTTTCCCCCATTATTCTCAGTGGTGATTCTATTTATACTGCCGTGACTGTAAAAAAGTAACTTTCTTTATTCTTTAATCTTGTTTTCATGAAACTAGTCGCACATTTTGTGGTGAAATATTACCTGGACGTGTCCTGTGAGTTTTACTTAACTGCCAAAGGGAAGAACTTTTCTTTTTTTTTTCTGCACATGCTGAAATCCTATGGCTTTCTTAGTAGTATTCATATTAACATTCAAAGCAGTGCTAGTATATATTGGCTATTCAAAACTCACTGGTGGAGCTTGTTAAAGAAGGCATCATTCATGAGGGTGTATTTCTTGCCAACCACTGCGACCGGTCTAACCTGGTTATTAATCGATGAGTCTGGTTCATGTTCGTAGGCATGCTCAGATAAAAATGTGATTGTGTCCTATTAGCTGTTAAAGTCCCATCAGAAAACATTTAGCATTTTTTTTTTTATGTGAGTTTGTTGTCATTTCAGAAAGTACTGTTCTGATTGGTGAGATAAACACTGCGGAGAAGACATTATTTGGCACTTTAGTATGGATATTTGCTGAACCTTTTGGTATACGTTAATGTAAAATTTTATAGTTGTGAAATTGGCCTCATCTTATTTTCTAACGAGTCAGTTGATTATCCAGTGATATTTTTTTGGGATGCACATTGAAACTGGATATTCTTTAAACCCTTACCTTGGGTACAATTTGTCTTCTCATGGAAGGACATACTGGGAAGGTGTAATTTGCAGGCCAAGCTATTTTTTCATTGTTTTGTGTGGAAAAAGTGTCGCTTGTAAATTGAATTGCTTATGTTGGTGCTTTCTTTTTTTTTAACCGTTTATTAAGGGTTCATGGATGATGGTTCTGTACATTTTGTTGTATGTAGTATGATGTTAATATTTCAGGACTGTTTGTGCAAGAGAGGAGAACCGCTAAAGTTTGAGCGTGCACTGTTATGCTGAACGAGATTCTGAGTCCAATGAAAAGAAAGAGAGAGATGTTTCTGTGAAACTTCATGTAAACTTGTAAATAAAGAGATGACAATTTTAATGACATCTAAATAGAGCCATATCATTCTTATGTCGAAACTGTAATATATATTTTAGAAAATAACTGTAGAGGTCAGATGAATTGTAGTTTTCATCACTTTTTATTGTTTAAACTACTCTTTAGGTCAACAACATTACATGAATACATTTGTAAGGTTTTGCATCAGATAGGAATGTAACACCATTTTCTTTCAGAGTTTAAAAATGTGGCTTGAACAAGCCATATACATGAACATGAGACATGCAAGGTATAATGACAGTACTGGATAACAAACCGGAGAACATTAAAAGGCCCATTTTTTAATCGTTCCAAAACCGTAAGACTTTTGTTCACCTTCAGAAAACAAATGATCTTTTTGATGAAATCTGAGAGCTTTCTGTTTTTCCATTGACGGCTACGCTACTACCAGTTTGACGCTTCAAAAAGTTCATAAAGAGATCGTAAAAAAAATTTATATGAATTGAGTGGTTTAAATTTTCTGAAGAGACTCGATCGCTTTATATGATTTAATTTAAGCTTTTATGGAAGATGAACTTAAGTCTTACGGGTTTGGAACGACATGAGGAAATGAGATCATTTTGATGAGAACTATCCCTTTAACACTGACCCAGGATTCTGGGAAGTTTAGCCTTATTTTCACTTCTGAATGAGAAGATTATCGTTGCTACTGTTGAAATTACTTTTTTCCCTTATAGCCTGAGAGACGAAATGGGCAACTGGAAAGACGGTTACAAATAAACATCTATAACAGACCCAGATTATGTAGGCATTGCTCACTCATTGACAAATTGCACTAATATTAATGTAAAATTATGAAAACTAAAACAAAAGGGGCATACAGTATGTAATTGAAACAATGAACGGATAAATGGTTAAGTGGATTATGTTCTGAGCATAGTGCTTTCATATTTGTGACCTTGCTTAAAGAAACACTTATAAATGAAAATTCTGTCATTTACTCACCCTCAAGTTGTTTCAAACCTGTATGAATTTCTTCTAGGGATGCAACGATATGAAATTTTTGGCCGATACGATAACCGATAATTCTTTATATTTGAAAGCCGATAACCGATAAATTAGCCGATAAATCTAAACCCAAATTTTTGTGTAATTTTTGAGAACCTGAGTAGTCTCACCATTAAAATCCACGTTCTCGTTATAATTTTATGTAGCGGAAATGACAGCCTTGCATGTTGCAATTTACGGTCCTCAAGCAATTCAAATCCATCATGTTGAACAGTTCGCATTTTAAGTGTCTCAGCTGAAGGAAATAATACATTATTTAATATATTGGCTAAATTTTCTTATCCGGCCGATAACGATAACAGTAAATTTGAACATACATCGGCCGATACCGATATGGTGGCCGATATATCGTGCATCCCTAATTTCTTCTGCCGAACACAAAAGAAGATATTTTGAAGAATGTCTTGCAAAGGAAGTCAATGGGGTCCATCAACTGTCGACGGTCTTCAAAATATTTTTTTTTGTTTAACAAAAGAAATAAATTCATACAGGTTTGAAACAACTTTCATTTTTAAGTGAACTATTCCTTTAAATCCCTCATTTAAATCATGATAAATGCTGAATGTAGCACGAAATCAGTTTTATACTAGTTTTATACAGCATTTCTAATGCAGCTCAACTTTTGAAAACTGAGAAGGGGGAAAGTTGCTTTCCAAATGAAATAAATAAAAATAAAAACAGCAGCATGTATTAGCTCTGACTATGTACAGTAGCACTGTAAGAATTAATTTAGTCTCTTAAATTTGGAGAATATACAGCGCACAACTATCTTGGATATCGAGAAAATGGTGAATCTCACAAAAACAACCTATAAAAGTTTGCATAAAGAGAATTATTTTGAAAGATTTCTTGCATTTATGAGATTTCTTGCAAGTCCATTTAAATCACATCCACTAACTGTCAAAATCCCACAGTAATTCAAAATATATAATTTTAATAAAATTGGGCATATTTTATTCAAATTTGAAAAATGTTCAGATTACAGTAATGAGAACATTTTTTTTTGCATTTAGAATGTGCCGTCCATTTTTTTTGTGAGATTCACCTGTAAATATAACTATTAATACGATGATTAATCCAAACAACATTTCTCGCGGAGGAAAATAAAATCACGATCCCGTGGCAGCTTTTACAGAACTGATTTTGGAGGCAGTGTGAGCCTAAGATTTCCTTTCTTCATAAGCCCAGTGTACAAACATGCAATCCCCGTATTATTAAACCACGGGTTATACAGCACTTCATTACGATTTGAACCATACTTTTTTTTGTTACAGGAGCTTTTATTGCTGTACTATCCAGTAGACATCATCAGATAGTGTAGTATTAACACCATCTGAGACTGATGGATGGAGTGATATGGTTCTTAACCACTTCCTACCACCTGAAAACAGACGTGCAGCGTGTTCAGGAGGTTCATCGGTAGTCTCACTTAAAACTCCAGATCTTAAGGAGATGTGTTCGACCCATTGACGATATATGTAAAGGGATTTGAGATAAACAGACAACACAAAGGTGATACACGGGTGACTACGTGGAATGAAGAGGAGCAGCCCTTCGCATCACTGGATGTCCGACTGTCCCTTTATGTTCCTTTGACGTCCACTGAGTCCATCGGTCTTTTCTTCCGATGTGTGGAAGACTCCTATGTCTCTGAACCGATTCTATGAGCTGAATGAAAAGACACCAGCTTTGAATAACCATCTTTTTGAAAACATTGCCAGTTTGCTTCCCTAGTACTCACATTGTTTAGGTATCCTAAGAGGCTCTGTGTCTCCGGACAAGACTTGGTGCATTGCACCTCGGAACTGGTACAGCAGCTTCAGGCTCTTTTCCTCTCCGACGCACGGGTCGTAAAACCCCGGCAAGCCAGCCTGATTAACACGAGACAGAACTAATTAATGTGAAGCACCTGGCAAGAGTTTAAGCATCTCATTGACGTAAAGCGCCGGTTGATGTTTGCGTGTCTAACCTTTGATGCCTCTGTAAGAACGAGTTTAGAGTCTTTCACTAAACACTGGAGAGGGACGGTCACGTCGATGACCTCTGCTCTCTCACGTTTCTGGCTGTTGTCCAATACAAATTTGCCGTACCAGGCATTTAGAATGATGAGACCTAGAATAAAAACATGAATCACTTCACATAAAACTATTCATTTAACAAGAACGTTTCATGTTCAGTATACGTATACGTACTACGTATATGGGCAACAATGCAGTTTGCAAAACCAAAGAAAAATTGTTTACAGTAATGCACCTACAGTAGAAAATGTAAAGCTTGTGGTCATTTTATCAGACAAAATTTGAGATGTTAAGTTTGTTTTAGCAGTGGAATTTATTTTATACCTGAGAATATAATTTAACCCTTTACCTTTACCAAAAATACTGTTTCTATGGTAACGCAACGTCCAATTTCAAAACGGTTTTCACAGGATGAATTCTGAGTTCTTAAGCTTTCAAATGATACCTAATATGATAACTACTAAAATATGTGATATAATAACAATAAAAAAAAAAATATATATATATATATAATATAGAGATGTATAAGAAATATAATATATTATACTTTTTAGAGGACTTCTTACCTTACATTTTTAAAATATAATTGTATCTTTTTTTATTGACAAATACTAGATTATCTTTTATTATGAACTTTTAGCACTAAAAACCAAAGTTTCATTTATTAAAAGTGTGTGCGTCGACTTTTTGTGACAAAGGTCAGAAACTCCTGTAATGACGTCGATTTTTTTTGAGGCGCACTCTTGTCATAAATTCATATATTACTGTTCATTCATAATTTGTAAGAAAATAACAGCGCTAAAATATCTATTTAGGAGTCTTAGACCTTTCCAACGATATATAGTTTGTCATGACTAGATTAGGATTTAATAGTAATATAGTGAAGTAAATTTAGGTTGCCCGTATACGGGCATGTGACAGTTATTAATAATAATAATAATAATAATAAAAAATCACCTGTGAGATGATTTATACTTTTCTTTTATTAATAATTAAACTGCTGATTTTGTAGTGATTTTTTTTTTTTTTAGAGATGGCACAAAAAAGTAATTTCTAATGAAAGAAATCTAGTTATTTAGAACTGAGGATTACTAAAAAAGAAATTCACATGACCTTTCTATAAAGTACATAAGGATTTATGAATTGTTACATCATGTCTTCTGGTATCTTTGGACATACTGTATATTTACTGGGTTTATCAGCTATATGCTGTCATCACACGAGTACAAATATTGGATAATATAACACATTAGTGCTTATTTTTAAAATGAATGGACATTATTTTCTGTGGTTATTGCCAGTATATCACAGATTCTGTCCACATAGCTTAACTTGTATCTATCTGAAGGTATTAAAAAAAAATTGTATGGGCTTTCACAAACCCATTTTAGATTCCTCAGCGTCAATAATTCTCTTCACTGACTCTTGCATCAGCAAAACCTGAAACCCAAAGACACAATAACACAAGAAAACAACATATCTGCCCTGATAAATGGTTGTGTGTGTTGGCATTATGGAAATAGTAATTGTTGTGTATGTATTTATTTTACTCACAGCAGCTTCAGCCTCTTGCTTCCTGCGTGCAATTTCTGAAGCAGAATCCTCCTTCTGTTTCTCCAACTCCCTGTAAACAACCAAAGAGTCAGGGCCTTTCATCAGAGAAACTGAGGTAATGTAAAGACTGGGAAAATGGGCGGTTTCAGAGCGGTAATTATGGATAATAACTCACTGTTCCTTCTGGGCTTGTACATAAGGCATAATAATAAGCTTCTGGAGAGCTAAGTAGATGACCAGCGGGCCCACAGTGGCATAAAACACAGCGCTGGGTAAAATCTGGTCGGTCAGGTGAATCGGGAAGAGGTAGGTTTGACTGGCTCTGTTCAACCTGTAGACAGTAGAAAATGACCAGCGTAAATAGACCACCCACGTGCAGCTTGAGCTTAGCTTGCTGTTCTACTGAGCTGAGCTTATTGCGGGTAAGCTAAAGTTAGTGCTAACCTGATTTTAAGGGAGACGCCTTGGGGTACACCAATGCTGACGGTAGCAGCCAAAACACTGTGGCGACTGATCTTGCGCTCGGCACCATATTCAACCACGGTGCCAAAGAATCCAGTCCTGTTGGACACAAACTCAATGAGCTATCAGGTTAGACACAGGAACTTATTACTTTTATAAAGCTAGGGCTGGGCAATATATTGAATGTTTAGAATAAATTTTCCAACATCTTTTTATTTAAAATGAAACACTATTGTCAACATAGAAATGTGCTTTACCATTAAGTTTCCTAAAGGTCCGAGACCGGTTTTATGAAAGACCTTAAGTTTTTTTTATTATATATATATATATATATATATATACACAGTTGTGACCAGAATTAATCATACCCCTGGTAAATATGATATATATATATATATACACAGCCATTTTATATGTATATGTGTGCGTATATATATATATATATATATACATATGTGTATATATATATATGTGTGTGTGTGTATATGAAGAGTTTAGATGCAAAAGCCTCTAAATGCCATTTGAAATTTTCTTCTTTAATGATGATTTTTATCAAACTTGTATATTTAAGTTCAGTAATTTCACTTAAATAACAATTAATAGGTAATTATCATTGCCATTTAAGTGAAATCACTGAACTTAAAGGGTTAGTTCACCCAAAAATGAAAATTAAGTCATTAATTACTCACCCCCATGCTGTACCAACCCCGTAAGACCTTCATTCGTCTTCGGAACACAAATGAAGATATTTTTGATTAAATTTGAGAGCTGTATAACTACCACATAGGCTCCTAAGGGACTGCCTCTTGACGGCCTCTTTATCAAGCGACGCGAATACTTTTTGTGCGAAAAAACAAACAAAAATAACGAGTTTATTCGACTATTTCTTTTCTTCCTTGTAGGCCAGAACGAGAATTCCTTAGATTTCCACGACGCATGCGCGAGATTTGCGATCTGCTTACACCAGCTTAGATCGCAATTCTCGCGCATGCGTCGTGGAAATCTATAAGGAAGTCTCGTTCTGGCCTACAAGGAAGAAAAGAAATAGTCGAATAAACTCGTTATTTTTGTTTGTTTTTTCGCACAAAGTATTCGCGTCGCTTGATAAACATATAGTTGAGCCACGGTAGTCACTTGGGATATTTAAACATTTTCTTCATTGACTTTTTGGGCCGTCAAGAGGCAGTCCCTTAGGAGCCAATGTGGTAGTTATACAGCTCTCAAATTTAATAAAAAATATCTTCATTTGTGTTCCGAAGACGAATGAAGGTCTTACGGGGTTGGTACAGCATGGGGGTGAGTAATTAATGACTTAATTTTCATTTTTGGGTGAACTAACCCTTTAAATATACAAGCTTGATAAAAATGATCATTCTAGAAGAAAATTTCAAATGGCACTTTTGCATCTGAACTCTTCATATATACTAACATTCAAAAATGTGAGGTCATCATGGTAGTTTTTTGTTGTTGAAAAAGTAATACTTTTATTTAATTTTATGCAAGGATGCATTAAATTAACAAAAAGCAGCTCAACTGTTTTTCAACACTGATGGCAATCAAAAATGTTTCTTGAGCAGCAAATCATAATATTACAATGATTTCTGAAGGATCATGTGACACTAAAGACTGTAATGATCCTAAAAAATTCAGCTTTACCATTACAGGGATTAATTACATTTTAAAATATTTTTAAACAGGACAGCTATTTTGAATTGTAATACTATTCCACAATAATACAGTTTTCACTGTATCTTAGATCAAATAAATGCAGCCTTGGGTAGCAGAAGCGTCTTATATCAAATATAATACAAAAATCGTACAGACGGCAAAATGTTGTAGTGTATATAGAAATCTCAATAGGTAAAACACATACTTGATGGAGCCTTTGACCTTGGTCTGGTCTTCATCCTGGAATTTGTACTGATAACTCATCATCAGGTAGGAATGAGGAACGCCCAGCTGAGGAACAGGAATAAGAACAGATGAATTGCTTTCTTAATGCATTGACTCTGTTTTGATTGGAGCAGATTGCCATCGTCAATGTACCCCCGTGAGGGCTTCACCTGCAGGGCCAGAGTGAAGTGGCTTGTTTTAGTGTCCCTGACGATGCTGGTGGTCATGGCAGACTGGCTTCCCCAGCGCCACTGCAGATAGCCCATAGTGTTCTGGTCTAGGTGGCGGGCCATCATCGTAGAGGCGCTGGGCCGTACGCCACGAGAGGAGAACTGCAATCCCCACTGGGCAGTCACAAAGCTACGCCACACAAAATTTGAGATTGACAGAAATTAGAAACACCAATCAGACTTGAATCACACACAGACGGACACCTACCATCGTGCAGTTACGTTACGGAATACTTTCATCCCAAATAAAGGTCCTCTAATGTCCCCCGCACCAAACTCCATCTTAAGACACACACACAAACAATAAAACATCAGAAGCAGACCAGCACAAAACCCAGAGGTGTGTCGGTGTGCGTTTTACCTCTCCCCAGCCCCTTGCTGAGGTCACACGCCGCACACAGAGGTTTATACTTCCTCCCCCATTGCCATTATGCGTAGACAGAGATCCAGAGAGGACAGCGGTATCTGAAGTGGTCAGGGGCGCCTGCCAAACAGAATCCTGCATGACTATAGAGCTCAATGGACATCGTGAAATGCACAATCGTCCATCCTGACCTCAATGGATTGGGATATGTGCATCCTGTTGATCTCAATATGGGGAAAACCTCCTCCTGGTACATCCTCAAAGTCCTCCTCATATCGGTCGAATAGGTCTGTTGCGTCTATGCCAACGCTTATTGTCCCCTGAATGAAAACAGACAAATGATGATAGTAGATCAAATTTAAGACCTGCACACATGGAAAAAACCCAATAGTGATGATGTAAGTTTGCATCACCCTGGTTCCCCCTACAGAAAGAAAAAAAAAGAAAAAAAAAAACAATACAAATTTTCCACTTGCTTTTGGATTATTGTAGAACAAAAAGCTCTGTGCCTAACAACAGCTTATGAATCTTAGAGTTGCAATTATACAAAAAGTCATTTGAAGTAAAAAGTATGCTGATAAAAAGGAAAATGACCATAATTGGATCCGACGGCGTTGTAAAGGAGAAAGAGAGCTTTCTAACTGTGTGTGTGATGACGGTGCAGATCGCGATCGCTGAGCAGCAGGATGATTTAAAATGACAACTTTTGAAGAATTTATGAGAAATCTACAGAGGCAAATAGATAAAATAAAGACCTAAATGTGTATTTCGGACTTTTTTTCATCACAAGACTGAAAGAAGACATGTTATTGAAGACAAATATCTCAAAATTGACCAGTGAAAAACCCCCCGATGTTTTTGCCTGCCGCATCCTAAAACAAATATTTTCCTTGAAAGTTTGAGTCAGAATAGTTAGCATAGTGTGATTCTAAACACAACCAGGCTGTGAAAGTGGACTAGTAAGTAGATGAGTTTACTGTTCTTTTTAAAGACCTATGGGTGCCCTGAGTTTAATAAATTACAAAGAGCAAAGAAGTCAATCAAGCAAAGATTTGACTGATATTATCTGGCTTCAAATTTTAGAAGAAAGAAACAAACTGGCATATTGGATCTTTTAAATTACACCAGTTGGAGCTCACAACACACAACACTGGAAGGTTTCTATTATCTCCCCCTGTCTTTCTGGTCTGGTGTGTCCACCTTAGGGTTTGTTCTCTGCTGGAGTCTCCTCTCGTCTCTCTCCTTCTGCAAACGTTCATATTCCTCCTTGATCTCTGCAGGGGTTCTCTTCCTCTCCACCACCTAAAGACATTGGGGATCAAGCAAGCAGGTGTGTCATTAATATTACATGCAATACATGCAATAACTGATAAAAACTCAATTTGGAAAACAAAACTAACCTCCCAACCTTCCACCTCCAGGCCTTTCTTCCCAAATATGTCATATATGGCTCGAGATTGTGGGTCACTGAGAACTAAGCAGAGGTCAAATAATGAAATTTTATGCCAATATTTTTTAACCCTGTAATGCCCGACAAATGAAGGTCATTTTTTTTTTTTGTTGGAAAAATGTAAGTTTATTTGAACTTTAGACAAAATCTAAAACAGGTTTTATGTTTAGTATCATACTTGATACATCTAGCTTTTATAGCTCACATTTGATATAGGAGAATATGGAGCTGCATATAAGCAAAAATATGCAATTTAGTGCAGATGTTCTTATTTATATGTTCAAAAAGTAAGATTATGTTAAATGCTAAGTTTTATTATCAAATCTCTGTAGTTTTAATTGTGAGGGCAAAACATATAATGCAATAATATGTGGGTGCGTAAAATAATGACAAAACTTTCATGTTTGGGTGAATTATTCCTCAAACCACCGGTGAACTAAAAGCTGTCATAATAGTCCTGGGGACAGTTATAATAATTACCCTCATATGCCTGGTGTACGTCTGTGAATAGTTGTTCTGCCTGCCTCTTTAGCTCAGGGTCTCTGTGCTTGTCAGGGTGGTAGAGCATACACATTCGCCTGTACGATGCCTTCAACTCATCTTGAGTCGCCTGTGGAATGTAAGACAGACAGACTGAAGGATGGGATATTATTAAGCAGCGTCAATATATATTTTTAATATTGGAATGGATGGTTATATCCAATGTTTATAGGCCCCGGGCAGTTGACGGGCCCCATTGACTTTAATAGAAAAAATACAATGGGGCCCATCAACTGTTTGGATACCGACATGCAGCAGAAGAAAAAAAATAAATAAAGGTTTGGAACAACTTGGGGGGTGAGGAAATTATAACAGAATTATTTTTTTTGGGTGAACTATCCCTTTAAATTCACGGTTTGGCCACACCTTGATAACAGGCTTTTGATTGGTTATGCTGCCCAGGTAAGACTGCGTGTTGGCGCGCTTTTGCATTCAAACTCAAACGCGAACATTTCCGTTACTACCATCAGCAGCTCCCTGGGAAATAGCAGTCGAGCACAAGAGCGAGCAGAAGTAATGATTATTATTATGGTAGGTATGAGTAATTATACTTTACAAGGTGTGATTGAGACTATTTATTAATGGATTATTTATGAAATGATGGTTTTAAGCGTTATTATTAGTAAGTGAATGGGCTTTCTGAGATAAGCTCTAGTCATACGTCAAGCGCCATTTACATTCTAGCACGTAACTTGCAGTACATGCGAAATATTAATAGACATCACCTTCAAGGTTGACATAGCAATCTGACAGGTGACAGATACTGCTAGAAAGGTGTCCAAGCAAGAAACGTCAGATCAATGAGTAAGTTAACTACAAGCCCTATGCAACCGGCATATTATAGTACCGTTATACGATGACAACTGTATGAATATCCCATATCCCCACCTAATAGGATATGTCACTCCCCGTGTCATTCTGTGCAGAGCTTAACCACGGAGATGACTTAAAATATCCACTTGCTTACCTCTCTCCTAACATTGAGCAGAGAATAATACTCTTCGTTATCTACTTCCAATTCTATATCCAAGGCAGCCGCCATGTTCCCAGTGTCCCAAACCCCCCTCCACCAATCCCTACTACGGTGAAGGCTTTTCTCATGAATATTAATCAGGCAATGTGACGTTCGGGCCTGTAGGTCGATCTGATTTGTTGAAAGACTGACGTTGTGGAAGGTTAGAGGAGGGGTGTGAGCTCCTGAATACTAATTAGGTTGTGTGTAATGACGGTTTTGGGAGCTCGGCGAGGTAACGTCAGTACTACGTAATGAATATTAATGAGCTAAGCCTTTGCCATAGTAGCTCATGATTCATTCGTTCTTCTGCCACCATGTGTTCTGGAGGAGTCCTTTAAAATTTAAATCCACTATTTGAGAGGTTTTGAGGGTGGACATTTCAAATTTTCAAAAGTAAAATAGTTGGAATAATGGAATAAATAAATTTTATTATTAACAGGGCCTACAAATATTATTATTATTAATAATAACGAATATATAGGCCTAGTTAGTTTACATATACAATGTCCATAAACAATTGTAATCAGCTTTAGATGTTTTGTTTATAATTTATGTTTGAGGTCTGGTCATTTTAAATGACTCCATACATAATTATTTTAAAACTATTCGTAAAATGCTTACGAGAACGCTTTATGATGTCATCGTCGCAAAACTACCGCGATGTAGCATTTTCGTATTTGTATGATTCTGTTGTTCAAATGCATTGGCAGTAATCGCGACATGCTGCGTTGTTGTGCGTAAACATTCTTGATTTGGCTTGATTTGGGGAAACGGCAGACGCACTGTTTATGGTCGAGGAGGGGAGCTGTTCTTTCAGCACCATCTCCTTCAGCACCCGCGAGTGGACAGCGCTCAAGAACTCATCAACAAGCTTGAGCGGCCGTCCACGCACGACCTGACACGTCTTATCCAGATGTGCTTTTCTTTTTTTCCCTTTTAATGGTGTGTCACTGCTGACTTGCAATTCAACAATAACCTTTTAGAGTAAAACCGTCATGGTCTCTATATGCTCACATCCATGTCATTCTCGTTTCACAATCATCTTCAGAACGAGTGGCAGATTAACGACTCTAACATGGCTGTTAACATCTAATTATATGACACAGTGGGGCATGTTATTAGTACTTAGACTGCTGGACACGTATCTCGATTAGCAGTGTTATAAAATAGTTCTGTCAAGCCGAACGGATATGAGTGTCTTTCAAGCATGAATGTCTTGTATTTGTTGTGTAGACTTAAAATATTGTAGGCTACATTTCATGTGTGTGTGTGTGTTACATTCGATTCTCCCAAAATCTGATTCTTCCAAAAAAAAACCAAAACCTTATTGGTCGCTGCATCGTAAAGGTGTCTCCTAAATAATAATCAATTCACCAATGGCGTTGAGGGGATGGATAAAAGGGGGGATATGGATTTCGCAAATTCATGAAGCATCACCGAAAGCACCATTGCCATTTATGGCACTTCGCGGCCAATAGCTAACGCGTCTTCACGCACGCGCCTCCCGCCTCTCGCCCCCTCCTCTAGACGCGTCCTCGCCGTGAACGCGCGTGGTACCCCCCCGGTCGCTAGGAGGAGGAGGAGGAGGAGGAGGATGTGGCGCGCGGAGGGGAAATGGCTGCCGAAAACAAGCCGGAAGGTAAGAGAGAAATAACAAGATTATTATTTTTCATTTCGCAGTTTTATCAGCGCTAAGCTCCAGATGATGAAGATCAGGATAGGGATGCGCGACGGAGAAAGTCAATGCCATTTTCGCTTAGCTTCTGTTTGTCACGAAATGGCAAAAAAAAAAAGCTGAAGCGCTGATGGGATTAGCCATCTCTGAGACGGCTATTAAAATAACGGGAACGGAGTTAGGTAATCACGGGTTACGTTCATTACGCGACTCCTTTCATCTCAAAGCACACAGAGGGTTTTCAAAGTCACAAGTCGAGCCGAGCCACAGCCTTCGTTAGATGAAGAGAAACATGTTTTTCTTATAGCCTATAACTGAGACGCGCACATGAGCGCATCAGACGAAATGAACGCGTGAAATGACTCGTATGGTTTAGAGTGGGATTCCTCCACACCGCATCCACGTTCCCCGTGCAGGGCTGACAGACAAACAAGCGAGCTCCGTCAAGTCAAACGCGGTCAACTACTTCATTTTTCTTTCGCATTGAACAGGGCGACGCTTTTAACTCCAAAAGCCATAAATGCAGATTTATGGTGATGCTCTAAAACGTGATTGATTTCCTTCCACCCCCACCAGAACCCCCCTTTTAGTGACTGAACCCTCCGACAGATGCTCGATATGCTTCGGTCTCGTGTGGAATATTTTCCCAGAACTGTGACTGTTTGGCCGCTGCTGTTTTGAAGCTGTCAGCAGTTATTTTCTTAGATAATAACACATTGAAACTGGATTGGAAAGGACACTGGGACCTAATTGAAGCGGAATTTTAATGAGGCAGCAAAATGAAAGGTACGTCTCTCCTCTTTCCTAAAGCGATGCTCGGCAACTAAAGCCAACTTCATGTTCTCACTGTTCGCGTGTAGCCTAATTATGATTGGTTTTGATATAGTCGAACCTAAAGTTCACTTTTTTTGTATTAACGGAGCGCGTCTTGTTTATCATTCTTCGAGGATGTTTTTAATGTGGCCCCTTACGTCTTGATGAATTTGAATTTAAATTATTCAGATCACATTTAAGATTCACAAGACGTTCAAAATCCCTCGCGTTCGGTTTGCTTTGAACCCTTTTGGAAGACGTATGATTTTTTTTTCATTTTTCAGACATTAGTTTGATTCTAAAGCATCTTGGGAAGAAAATGCTGATTGTTCAGTAATGTTGGAACATTAGCTCTGGAATAGCTTAAAATAACAACCAGGAGTTTGTCAACATTGAATTATTTATTCAACATTTTTTTTTCTCCCTAAATTAAATCAGTCAAGGAAGTTTTGCTTCATAACAGCCACATGGTGGTGCTATTGAGCTGTGCAAATCAGTACCCCCCCTCAACCCCCCCAACTTACACACATTGGAACTAAGAGTGATAACTAAGCTTGCCTATTAAAGAATTCCATCAAAGTGACGAAGTTGCCCTCAGTGATTTGGGTGAGCTCGCAGAGTGCCTGTGCGGGACGGTAGCGCGCATGTCTGCTGTTTCTCGAACGTATAGAATTGTCCTCTGTTAATTACACACTACTTCGGATCTATAGGCAATAGCACAGTTCTGCTTTTCCGGTTGTTGTTGTTGGATATCTTCATTTTTGCTCTTGCTGAGAGATGACCTGGCCAGAAAAAGGTATTCTTTATGTTTCATAGTGCACATTTATCTATGTAAGTCCAGACAGGTAACGCTTTGCTCTTGCTCTACTTCTCAGAATGAAAAATGTGTCATAATGTAACGTAAGTTTGGGGACAGAAAGATTGTAGGCTATTTTTACCCATTTGAGCTGCCACGGAACAGGAGAAAACATTGCCTCTTTTGACCTTTACGGCCTAAAACTGTGTCACGCATTTGTATCTGACAGTCTTTGCTCTTGCCAGCTTCCTGGATCAGTTCTATTCTTTTCTTCCACACAGGAAGCATATTCTCCAGTGGTTCTTGCCAACATGAGGATGGCAGCTTACATACAAGGATGTGCTCCCCATCAGCTTTTAGATGTTTTCAAAGTCGTGTTCGGGAATATGGCTAGAGAGTGCATGAGAGTCTCTCTCTCCAACCATTCAGTCAGTTGGCTCTGTGTTATTTTGCTCTCTCACGTTTTGTGCGGACAACTGCAACTGTACATATTTGGTCGCTCATCAAATCTCAATTTCTCTAATTTATCAGAGAAGTAAAAATTTCACAGTGGCTTTGCTTGAAATTAAGCTCCTGGGTGTTTTTGATCTGTTTGGCGATGCGAACAGCAGCACTCTGATACTACTGGCTCTTCCAAACAAATTGGATTGTGTAGAATTGATCTATCCTCTCTGAAGTATTACCTGGCTAAATGAACATAGGAAGCTGTGTCTCCCACTTTTGAAGTTCTTTTTTAAACGATTGATTGTATGGATTGATTAGCCAATTGGAAGGAGAGGGTACAGTTTACCAGTGATTCAGGTACAGGAAAAGAGTCAATATGAACGTGATGTTTAGGTGACAACTGGGGGAAATTAGAGTGCTAGTTTAGCTCTTCAGATTTCAGTTCCAGTAATTTGCATGCTTTTTATGGCTCGCTTTATGGGTTTCTTACAGCGTGTCTATACGCGCCGCAACAGCTGGAAGCTGTCTCTACATTGGACGCGACAAAGAGACCATTGCAAATCCATTTGTTCTTCCTATGAGAAGTATCGCCAGTGTTATATGTCATAAGTAGAACAAGGCATTAGTTTACTGTCGGGAATTTGTGTTGCGTTGGCGCCACATCCAGACACGGTGTAACAGCATCAGACTTTTCTGCTCTTTACTTAAAGGGATATGTCACCCAAATGAAAAAGATTTACTCATCTTTATATGACTTTAATATTGTTTTTTTGGAACATAAAAAAAAAGATATAATGAGAAATGTCTCTATTTGGTTTAACATAAAAGAAAGTCATGCAAGTTTGGAATGAGATTGCAATTTTTGTGTGAACTATCTCTTTCAGAAACAGCAGTTTTTTTTTTCTAGTTCAATGCTTTTTCCTGCCAAATGCATTTAAGAATCCAGTAAGCCACAGAAATTAGTAGATGTGGTATGATTCAACATGTAGATTTAGCTCCTCGCCAGCCTAGTTGATTGCACACCTACATACACATCTTGTATGCAATACTTGGATGCTGGAAAAGCTCCTTCTGACTCACAAATGCAAGTGTGATGGTAGCTATTTTCCTTGAACTTGAACCGGAACGACCTCTTGACCTCTAAAGTGCATGTTCCAGTCGAAAAGAAATATGCATCGCAATGTTACAATCAGGCGAGGGTAAAAGCAATGAATGACCTCTGCATGAATAGGAAGTAGAGGGCTTTGTATTGTTGTACCCACAGACCTTCTCCCCTCACTGTTCCCTCCTCCACTGTGTCCCCTGTAGGACTGAAGAAAATACGTAATCCGGATCGAATGTACAGAACCGCCGTTGGTTACACCGGCCACGTTCCTCCTAAGAGTGTCAGCGATGACACAGACAACAACAGTAAGAGAGCTGGCTTCCTTTTCCACTGCATCCCTCAAAACATGACAACGTTATGAAATGCTGTTCATCTTCTCTGCCCATTCGTTTACATACTGCATAACCTCATTCTCGCAGCTGGTATAGTTCCTCAACAGTGTTTTTATAGTATTACCAGAGCCCAAACCAGAGCAAGATCAAATTAATACGAGACTTCAGAGTCTCTAGAGCTTTTTGATCTAAAACCTTGCTTTGAGCACAATAATGCTTGTTTTCCTGGCGTGTTTACCAGGTTCAAGAGCGTAGCAAATTCTATCAAAGCAATTTGTAATAAGGCAACGTTCAGCTGCTAGGTGACTTTTAGTGCAGGGAGTCGGAAGGGAGAGGCGGTTCTCGGTAGATCAGCTTAAAAAAAGGCCAGCGTCTCATTTTCATTCAGCTCCATTACAGATGATGTTTATTCATGCATGGCCACGCTGCTCCGGAACGAGCAGCATATTTTTGGAAGCAGCAGCTCGTTGTCATGGCTAATCAACGCAGAGCGCAGGCGTTGGCTTGCGTGGGTGTGGACGAGGGCGTGTTCTTGTTGCGCTTCTGTCTCCCCGAGCACGTTTCGAAGAGACACTCTCTTAATGAAGACACTCCGACATGGACACTAAGTGGCCGGAGTTCTGCTGCCCAGTTGTTGAAGGCTAACAGTGCAATTAGCAGCTGGAGGGATACACACCTCAGCCGTCTCTGGCCTTGCCGGCTCTCAAGCATTAACTCTTTGCCAATCCATTGATTAGCCTACATGTTGGTTTTTAAATTAAATGGGCTGTCGGTTCTTATAACGCATTGCTTGTGAGCCTTGAATCCTTGGACGTTTCGGAGTGTGAGGATAAAAGGAGATCCAGTTCAGGCGGCCCCCTTCATGGACCCCATTTTAGCCTGATTCTTTTGCTTTGTTGAGCCAAGAAAAGCTTTGGGAGCCAACTGGGACAGAACCAGAATGTCGAAGTGAGCTAATTGGGAGGAATCCTGGTCTGCCGTTCCTCTCCTTCTCCCTCTCGTCTTCCCTAGTGTCCAGCATAGCCTTTTTTACTCCACCAGTGGAAATCCCCTGATGAACCACTCCCACTTATTAAGGCAGGCACAATGCACATCATCAAGTCTGTTTAGAATATGTATAGATGTGCTGCTTTTTTTACTTTTATACCTCAACTCATACCAAGTATTTTGCTATGAAATGAATTTGCAGATTTTTTTCCCCCCGTGCTATTGCATATTGTCTTGGACGAGAGTCAATAGATAAGAAGCAGTTATAGCCTCTAGTCTAGAGACCAAGGGAAATTCATCCCTTGACTTCAATGGAAGGATGACTTGTTCATTTGCTTTCTCCCACATCTTCAGTGTTTTATCAGCGAGGCTTTATTTTCAAAAAAAAAAACACCCTAGCAATTAAGAGAGACGTTGCTGCCGTACAGATCTTTTAAATTGGCTAAGATAAAATTTAATTGAGATCCTGCAAATAATGAGAGGTTTTGTTCGTGTTGCAGAGATGTAAACAGTTGACTGAACCGCTCTACCAGGGAAGAGAGCGGAGAGAGACGGCGGTCTCCTGGGACGCCCAGACACGAAAGTCAGGTTATCACAGAATCGGCCTCCTGTCTTGGAGGAGTTTGAACTCTTCGCTTGCATAGCGTCTCTCGTTATCAAAACAGTTGGCGGTAATTGTGCCGAGCGCTAGCGTGTCGGGCGTGCGGTGATGCTTCACTTGGCGCAGGCTTATGTCACTCTTCATAACAATCATGCCTTATCTCTGCGTGCCAGCGTACATTCGGTTTACTCGTCTCAGGGAGCGAGTCATGACTGAGCCGATGCAGCATAGCTCCCTTTTAGGTCCAGCAGGTTTAAACGAAGCTGACCTTGTTGTTTTTGGAGACCTTTAAAAAAAAAATCACAACAAATGTGAAAGGATGTTTTTTTTAGCAATCCTATCTCTCACTTTCAACGTGTTTTTTGGTTTTGGTGCTCACACTGTGCAAATGGCTTTTGTGTACCGTGCTGTTATTAACACCGAAATGAGGTTATCGTGAGTCATCTTAAGTCATGATTCAAACAAGGATCTATTGAAGAGCATGGTGAGGATAATATGCAATTTTTGTTACTGTGAAGAGAGAGAGAGAGCTCGGTTAGGGCAGAAAAGAGGACCAAAATGCTAGCCAGAACTTTAACGTACATTTTGTATGCATAGCTCAACTCTTTATCCATTTGTATTCATATACTCATTTGCATGATTGAGTCCATGTGTATTTGAGCATTCTCATATCCTCTGTCTTGTTTATGTCTCTGAATGCCTTTGGTAGTCAGTGTTGCATGGATTTGCATGTTGGTTTTATGCGTCCAGGTGTAAGACAATGGTTCAAGCTGGTATTTGCCTATTTGTGTGCTGTTTATAGGACCTGCTTCTGTTTTATAATTCATGTCAGAAGCATATGTTTTGTTTTCACTTCATTTGTCGAATGCCTCAGATTGTCTATATACATATGTGTATTGTGTAGATTGCACAACAAATGTGTAGATTTTTAAACAAAGAAAAATGCATTGTTAAAACCTATTTTATCCCATTCTTGTGCACATTTAATGCCTTCATCAATATTATACTGATTAGGCTTTTGAAAGAAACATTAAATCAATATCAATTAGTTCTATAAGGTTCCATGCAGCATTATTCTTATATTTAATGCCAGATTCACTAAAATTTTATTATTTTCTTGGTTTTTACCTTCAAAACATTATTTTCAGGAATACAAAATATTAACTTGAAACATATGTTCTTATGTCCTTAAGATTTATCCTTGTTGAAATATTTAACATTTAACCCTAAAACCGTATTCTGGACAAATGTGGGAAAAATAGTTTTGATTTATTTTTTTAAAAAATGCTTCCCTTGATCTGGGCAGTACAAGACTTGGCTACTTTTCCTAAGTTTGCCTCCTGAACACACACATTTTTTTTTTTTCTACAATGTTAAGTGAAAAATAAAAACTCCTTAATCTTGTATTTGGGTCAAAAATGGGCACCCATAGAAATGAATGGGAAAAACTGTAAATTAGAGCATTCTAAAATAAGCCAAAATAAGACATCAGGTGACAGCAAAGTCACTTCATCTTTAGGCTTTAGCTCTAAGAACTTGATTGGAATGATATTTTAATGTAGTTAAAAAATAAAACATAAAAATAAGCACAATTTACATACACTCTAAAAAATGCTGGGTTGTTTTAACCCAACTTTGGGTCAAATATGGACTAACCCAGCCGTTGGGTTAAATTTTTACATTACATTTTTAACCCAACATTTCGGGTTTGTCCATATTTGACCCAAAATTGGGTTAAAACAACCCAGCATTTTTTAGAGTGTAGAAAATATGGTACTTTTTGAAGTAAATAAATACAAAAATGGCCCAAAATAAAATAAAAACACCATAAATGGATAGACAAAACTTTATCGAAGACAGTGATATAACATTTATAATAAATAAAAATTAGGATCACCTGAGTCCTCTGTGCCCACATTTGTCCACAATTACAGGATTAAGGGCAATGAAGTGAATACGGTTTGAGGGCTACCATATTTCTTTAGAAAATAACCTTTTTCTAAATAATTCCTATTGTTTTTCAATTTCCTTAAGAATTTCAGTTTACCCTTGGACTTTTACCAGAGAAATGAACGAACAAACCAAAAATGACAAGTGTGAGTAAATGTCGAGTAACTTTCCAAACTCCATCAAAACACAGCTCCCACGCAAGGAGATGACAGTGACATTAATTTTGGTTTTAATGTGTTAAAACCACAGAGAGCTTTGCATTTTTATAATCTCCTCTCTATAAACAATCTTCATTAGCCAAATGGCAGATAGCTATCTGGCCAATGATCTATTGAATGGCGCAGATGTGGCCGCTGATGGTGATGAAGGCCCGGAGCTGTAGCATTAAGCAGAACAATAGAGCAATCACTGCTTTGATTGGTATTGATCTTGGACCTGGAGGGATGAGTGAAATTGAAACTGACCAATTGGACCCCGATCCCATTTGAATCAGAAAAGGTGGTAAAACAGCGTGCCAAATGATGTCATGGCTCTGGCCGGACACAAGCTTCCTTTAATGGCTTTAGGACGGCACATTATTCTCTGTTAAGAGGAAATGTGAATCATTGTCAGGCCATTTCCCTGTGGGGAAAAAATAGATTTATCATCCTCCCTTTCATTCTTTTATCCTCATCTTCCCTTCTTTGTGTCCACTCTGTCACTATAGTTTTTATGATGAGGATCATGATCACACAATCATCCTGTCAAAATGCTTTATCTGAGCATGATTAGTTGTGATGAAGCCTCGCATAGAGTGTGGTCCAGAGTTGATCAGGATTCAGTCAACCTCGTTTTTGGTGCCAGTGAAACACAAATCACAGAGTGAAAAAGAGGGAAAAAAGTATCCTATCACTGGACAAGAGGACACTATCGATTTGAGATCTGTTTTTGTCAGCCTTTATCCTATCCTAAAACAAGCTTTGCTCTTTTCTTTGAAGTGATGCTTGCTCAAGCTGCCATGACAGATACAGTAAAACAGCTCTTCAATGTCAAGCCTTTTAAAGATGAGCCGTTAAACCCCAGATTAGCACCGAGATTCACATGTTTTTCTGGCTCAAAGGCTTTTGAGGAGGAGGACCAGCGCTGGAGGTCACGGCAGAACCCCTTCTCGACTTTTCCTCAGATTTGCTGAAGAATCTCTCCACACCTCCTGCTTTAAAGTGTTCACACTGCAGACTCTCTCTGGACGAGGTCTGGCTCTGAGCTCCGTGACCTTGAGTCGCTTTAGTAGATGCTAAATCAATTTGACTGACATCGTCCACCCCTTCAAGTCATAGCTAATTCAATAGAAATTTTATTGCATACAGAAAAAGATCTCGCCTCTCATGCACACGGCAGAAAATGTGGCGTTTTATCTGCTGATGGATTTAGAAACTGTAGTTTATGTAGCCCAAAG